AACGAGAAATAACATCAAAGTCTAAAATGCTACCTCAGCTACAAATCTATTAAACCAAGCTTACTTGCTAATAAAATGACTCCTACGCGCCAACGAAACTTTTGTCCGAAGCGGATATTCAAAGCTATCCGCAATGTGGAACTTGAGCATGAAACTTTAGAATTTCACTCCGACCACACCGTTACTTCAAATTGGCTCCCGTCAAGTCCCATAGCCCCACAACGCCCTTATATACTATTTCCATGAAATCCCTCATCTTAACAATGCAAAAATTGGGCATCGGAGTTCAAATTTCACAAAACTTCGAAATTGTGCTCTAATTCCGAAAACTATTCCAATTAGACAAACAAAGGATTTGAATCCTTATCTAGCATTGCAAATCAAAATAAATCTAGCTTGACAAGACGTCCGTGACATGTACACACGAAATCCATCTTTCCCTTTTCTTTCTTCTTTCCCCCTTTTTTCTTTTCTTCTTCTTTTCTTTCCTTTCCTCGCTTTCCTGCGTGCTCTACGTGCTCACTCTTTTCCCTTATATAATGAAAGTCAAGTTCCCCTTTTCTTTTGGGAAAAGAACGCTAGAAGTGCTAAAAGTTATGTACGGCGCTCACTTTAGTGTCAAAAGTTTTTGTTGGATTACTTAAGTATCAAATCGGAGAAAAAACGATCACTTTAGTGCTAACAGCGAGAAATTCCGGCCAAAAATAATATGTGATTTTTATAATTAAATTTTTAATCTGACGTGGCTTATTAATATTAAGAACAAGTCCACATGGACAATGTGGCTAGTCACACTTCCTTAAAAACGACATCGCACGAAGCTCAGTCCAAAAATGACGTCGCACGGGTCTTGGGGAGGAGAGAGGTGCCGAGCCTCATCGGTGCGGCGGCGCCCAGCCCTGCCATAGCTGCGCCGGCGAAGAGACGACCACCTCGGAGGCCGACGTGGCCGCATCGCCTTGACAGTCAAGCTTCGGTGAGAGAGCGAGATCTCAGCCATGGACAGTGAGCACCGAACCCAAGCGAGCAAGAGAATGTGAGAGTTATGGACGCCATTCTTCCTCTCTCAAAACTGAATTAGGGTTTAGATTAGGGGCAATCCCCTCTCTCTCTCTCTAAGCTTCAATGGAGGATATGAACTCTTCAGTCTTTCTTTTCTCTTGGGATATGACACATCCATCAAAAAAGGACAAAAAGGGGCCCTTTTCTTTTCTGAATCGGAAACACACAGCTTCCTTTTTGCAGAGTCTCAAGCGACCAGGCCGGCATTGTTCCCGATCTAGACAATTGACCGGTGACTCTTGCCCAGAACTCAGCATCGCTCATCGCTAATCTCGCCGACGCTATCTGCTCCAAAGCCATACCAGCAACACTAGCTTATTCCGGCAATTTCCTATGGACTCCAACTTGCCCAGTAAATTCTCATCAAGGCCCACCGGCAAGTTTCAGGTTTTCCAGCCATCCTCCATCATCCGACCAGTAGTAGTTCGCTGAGTCTTGTGCCGTTGCTCACTGCACATCTAGCAACGACGGACGCCGCCGTTCCCACCGGCGAAAACAACCATCCCCTCTCAAAATTGAATTAGGAAGTCGAATTAGGGTTTCGATTAAGGGTTTCGATTTGGGGCAAATATATAAACGACGTTGTTTGGGAACAATAATGCTGACTAGGCACGCCGGCGAGCCACGTAGGACTGAGATATTAATAAAATATGACCATGTCAGACTTCTGGCGACCTAGATCGGAGTTGACACTTAAGTGATCGTTTTTTTTAAAAACGCCACTTAAATAATTCGGAAAAAACTTTTGGCAGTAAAGTGAGCGCCGTACATAGCTTTTGGCACTTCTAGTGTTCTTTTCCCCTTTTCTTTTTGACTAGTCAAAGCTTTCTTTTCTTTTCTTTTTAATTTTAATCCTATTTTGACCAAGTCAAACAAAAATAAGGCAATATATTCTACCCTCTTTAAAAGACATTGTTTTGATTGAAATATCAACTAACAGAACCTTGATAGAAGGTAAATATGTCATATAGATATAAATTTGATTTTTTATATCACAGGAAAAAGTTTAGGATAAATATGTCACAGTTGACATAATTTGGGGTTTTTAACGTTAAAAAAAAGTTGAGGGTAAATGTGCCACGGTGGGCATAGTTTGATGTTTTTGGTGACTTTTTTTCTTAATTTTATCTTAAACTTGCAAGTCATATTAACTATCATATAAAAATGAGATAAATTTGAGCTTTTTTGTTAGCGATTGAAATAATTAAATGAAAATTACATTTGCTGAATATGGCACTGGATAAGGGGGGATAATTTAAAAAAAATGTTAAACTTATTATACGGTGGTCAATTTAATCATAAATTTTTTTATTTTGGAAATTTAGTCATAAATCTTCCGACCAATTTTGGTAAGAAATCACCGACATAGAAGCCGATCCTCCTACGTGGCACGACTAGCTCTGACACAGACAATTATTACCATTTAAAAAAAATTGAGTTATTTATTTATTTATTATTTTTATATTTTATTTTATTTTCTTTGATTACTATTTATCTTCCCATAAGGGCCGACACGGGTCGCCGGGGACTCAGCAAGGGCCTAGGCCCTCGCCCATTTATAGATATGCACTTCCCATAATCTCTATGGATTCATGTTCCTAAGCTTCTTCACGACTCAAATGAATTTGCGAATCTGGGCGGAGAATATTGTCGTCATCTCATAAAAAAAGAGCCCGTTGATTCTTGGATCCCAAGCACATGTAAGGTTAGCTCTCGAGGGAAACATAATATAGATACGAATCGCTCACACTGACGAAGGCTTCACGGCCCTCGTCTAGATCTGAGTGTGGGTCATAACCATCATTGGCCATCATCGAGGGCCCGGCACCGCCAGTCCTTCCAGGAAGATGAATAGTGGGAAAAAAGAAAGAAAATAAAATAAAAAATAAATACTATATAAAATATTCAAAAAAATTACAAAACTTGTCCACATTAGCGTCGGCCATGCCATGTAGGATAGTTGGCATTCATGTCAGAGATTTCTAGTCAAAATTGGTAAATGATTACATCGACAAATCGTCAAAAGATTTACAACTAAATTGACCATAAAAAGTTTAGGAATGAATTCGCCGCCATGCAATAAGTTTAGTACTTGTTAAATAATTATCCTAGATAACAGTGACCATATACTCTTAATAATATGAAATAAAATATTAAATACAGCCATGTTAATTTTTTTCGAACTCTTCTTTTCTACATATTCTATCACACTTCCATTTCTTTAACATGGTATAAGAACAACAGAAATGTGATAACTTTCGTATGACGCTCTTTTTAGGGCCATAACTTTTTTCTTGCTCACTTGAGTATCACGTAGCTGTAAACTCGTTTACTCGAGTGTATACTTCGGCAATTTGTGCTACGTGACTTTTTAAATAATGTTTTGAATCCGACCTGGCTTTTAAGAAGGGAACTCTCTCCCTCTCTCACTTCTTCCTGTCTGAAAATCGTAGAATCCATAAAATAAAAATTTAACTCTCGCTCACTATCGCTCACTCTCGCTCTCGATATCGCTCACTCTCGCTCTGTCTTCTCTTGCTTCGGCTTGGAAGCATAGTCTCTGTCTTCTCTTGCTTCGGCTTGGAAGCATAGTCTAGCGACTTCGACGCCGCTCCTCCTCCGTCGTCCATTATCATTCTCTCTTTTCTGTCCTTGCGCTTGCTCTGAGAGACCCAAGATCCGTTGGTGGAGGAAATAAAGAAATTGCAATGGTGACTCCTGAGAGAGAGTGTGTGAGAGAATCTATTTTGAGTTAGGGTACTTCACCAACGGATGGCACGAACCCTCTCCCTCTCCTTGCTTGCTCTAAGAGCCCCAATTTCGCCTCTTGGAAGCAGCGTCAGGGTTCCTCACCAACCTTTTCAACTTTAACAGAAATTTGCCCCAATTTCGATAAATTGAGCTAGGGTTCTTCAAATAGATCTGTAAACAACGTCATTTAAATTCTCATTTGCTGACTTCATCTTGCCGATGAGCCACGTCAAACATTATATGATAAATTATTGCCACGTTGGATTTTTTGACGAGACAAATCACCGATAGCATTCAAGTATACGATTTTTAAAAAATGTGGCACTCAAGTGAGCGAAAAAAAAAAATTTAACACTCAAGTGAGTGCCATACGAAAGTTGTAGAACTTTTGGTATTCTTATTCCCTTTTAAACTTTATCTGAACTCTCATGTGGCCTTTCTATGTCTACGTTCACAAAGATTTCCTTTTTGCTATATTTTTTTAACTCAATTGACAATAACCCAAAACAACATATAAAGATACCTGTATATACGGGATAGATAGTCAAAATTGATGACATTTATCTGCGTAAAGCGCGAGCCACGTGACTAGCGTAAAGCTTCCATATATTTTTCTATAATTTCGAATAAATTGCTTCTTCTTTTTCATGTTACTACTAGCCTCCATCGTCTTTCTTTTAGAGCTTACGTCCGAAAGTTTATTTCACACGCACATTGCGTGTATGCTAGTGTGCAAACAATTTTGTATTAACACCTATTTTTCAATAGATTGATGACATACATTAGTATTTTTCTTACGAATATCAAAGTCTTTGTCTAATTTCTTTCCTAGAAGGAAGCTGATTAGCCTTTCTTTTAATCGGGAATATAAATCCTCAATGAAGTCAACATCGTTTCCCCATACCGGTCTTCCAAAGTCTAATTTGACTATTAGGTTAGGCATAATTGTCAGAACATCTACTATCCCACCAGTCACTCAAGCTTAAGCATAGTTCAAGTGCTTCCCATCGTGTGAATCCGATGTTCGATTTGGTCCGTCCTGAATATGAACTTAAATCCCCATTAGGCCTGGAACACATAGTATTAAACATCGATACTCTCTAAGACAATGAATTGTTGTGTAAATTAAGGAAGAATTTCGTTTTCACTACTTTCCTGCGACGAGAAAATATGAAAAATAAACCGCATAAACCCAATTAATTGCTCTGGAGGAATTATTTGTGTCATTAACAAAGGGTAAAAATCCCATCTAATTGCAAGAAACTGTGTCTAAGAAGGAATTCAAAGGGAAAAGAAAGATTGCCAAACATGCAATTTTATCTAAATTTTTGGGACCTTTCAACATATAAACCTACACCCACCAAATATGCAATTTGACTGATGCTGAACCTAAGTATCTCTATTGTGGCTTCGATCCTGCTCAAAGTTCATCCTTAATAGAAGATGGTTGTTGACCCATGCAAGTACTTGAGGCGCTCAAGCTCTCTAGCCAAACCTCGTCGGCGATGACGGAGTTGGTCTCGTTGTTGCGGTGCCATGACCAGTGCGCATGCGTGTGGTTGAGTACCCTCAGTCTCCCGTGTCCAAAGCTCGCCTCCCTGAACATCGAGAGAGGCGAAGCTGGTTCCTTGTACCTACAAATTCATCACCTAAATGATCAGGCGCTATAAAAGCGTACATTAACATACACAACATCATCCAATATTTCAACACAAGGCCAATGCGGCAATGCGTCTCGCGATAAAAAGAGGCATACTCTTTTGGGATTAATGATGACTGAAATCTGTCTATATTTCAAAATTTGAGAATGCTATCTTATATCATCCTCTAAAAGAACATTGCCATATCTGTGTTTTGTCCTATAAAAAATTTACGACAGATCAAAGAGTAACACAACAGCTTAACATCAGTCAATTCCTCTAGGATTTCTTTCTGTTTTTCATCCTACAATTCGACCGGTTGTTGATTCAGAACGAAAATGAACATAAACAGGAAAAATTAAGTTAGAGAAAGCACACTTACGACATTGCAAGCCCTTCTCTATTCCCTCCATCGCCAATGGTCACATAGACAGGTCCACAAGTGTCAGCCTCATTGTCGTAAATCCTAGTCTGCGTATAACAAAGAACGAGCGTCATATTCTCAGAAAAACCAAAAATGAAACATTTTGCTTCATGCTATATGTGAACTTACAAATCGTTCATAGGCATGAACATGCCCGGCAAAGACGATGTCAACCCGTGCGCCATACAGTAATTCCTCCATCACCTTCCTCATGCTCTCACCTTCCCCTTGATGAGCCTTATTCGTGTTGTACCACGGCGCGTGCAACAGCACAAACACCCACGGTGTCGCCCTCCGATCAATCTTGGCCAGGTCCTGTTGAAGCCACTTGAACTGAGCCGAGTCGAAGTTGAACTCGGTGTATGACCCCAGCATGATGATGTGGATGCTACGACCGGCAACATCGAAGGAGTAATAGAGGTTGGATTCAGACCCACTTTCCTCATAGGGCATGAGCCACCGGGCGTTGTAAGCCTTGAACCCGTGTGTGTAGATGATGGGAACTATCTCGATCTCATGGTTGCCCTCGGTAACCATCCAAGGTCGGCGGCTTGCAGTTGGCTCAACCAGGCGGCCAAAGGAGTCCCAAAGTGGCTGCTGGCCATTGGCATAGGAGAGGTCGCCCGGGAGTAGGAAGACGTCGTAGTCCTTGCTCTCAACGTGCTCTAGGGTTGAGTTGGTCCAGTCTGTTTGCCCTAGATCACCTACATAGGTCGGAAAATCGTAACGATTAAGATTACTAGATAAACTCAGTTTGGACAAATAGGAAGAAATTTGCTATTTATCGACTCAAATGGGACAAAAAAGAGTTGCATCAAGGATACATACCAACCACTGCAAATTCGATGGGGAAGGTGGAAGGCGGCATCTTGAACGAGAACTCCGGGCCAGATGCACCGCACCGATAGTAATAAGTCGTGTCTGGCTCCAAGGGCCCGATCTTGACATGGTGGATTTTGCCGGAGGAGTAGAAAAAGTAAGTATAGGATGTATGCTCTCCTCTTATCCTGGTGGTGTATTGTCCCGGAGCCGTGCCGTACTCCACGGTGGAATGCGCCCTGTGGTCCTCCGTAACCCACGTTACTCTCATGTGGTTGCTTCCGGCAAGCGAAATATGCACCTAAAATCACCCAAAAATGGGAATAATAGCATTTAACATCGACATGAAATCTAACCGGCACAACTTCGAGAAATATTCATGTTCTTCGACCGCAAAGGAGTTCATAAAATATCTTTGAAATTAGTTATAAGATCAATGGGCAATGAGAAATCGACCTGTTGAGGCTCCGACTCAGACCGCTTATGCTTGGAGAATATGATGTTCCCGGGAGGGGGTCGATTGTATTCCTCTACGGAAGCATAAGTGAACTGTATGAGAATCTGAGGCACGAAGACGAAGAAGAAGACAACAATGGTTGAAGGAAGAAGAAACGCCCGTGGACACCAAATCTCCATGGTTGAAGCAATGAAGCTAAAGTGTGTATACTGATGAATACTTTTGGGAGGAAGAGAGAGGGAATATAAAGAAAAGTTGGGCTAGGGGAATTTGAATCGGAACACTATAATCTATTAAATAAACGAGAAGGCAATACCGTCAAGTAAGTCGATTGGAATATCTTGAATATGATGCTTCAGAGGTAGATGTGCTCTCGTCCTCCTCCATTTTTCTTCACTACCAGCAAGAAGCGTGTGATAAGGTAACTCTTGGACTTGGCTTGGCTGGGAAAGGGACCACTTTCCTCAGCCAGTAATTTTACAGGATCATTGATGCGTTTGGATAGTTTTGGTAATTATCCTAAACTAAAGAAATAAAAGCGTCTCGAGTTACGGGTTACTATTATTTAAGAGGGACTTTAGAAAAGTCTCGGGTCACAAGCAACCCATCCGCAAGTTCGAATATACACTTGTGAAGTTTCGCAATCGATACATCGCTCAAAGTTCATACCAATGAGTTCTTACACTAATCTCGTGTGTAGAAAAACTAACCGGGTAAGACTTGTTAAGATATATGGTCGATGATCGTGGATGTGTACGCATTTCTCGATAGTTTGAGCTTCTAACAAAGTTAGTTACAGAGATCAAATTTTTGACGATCCGTGCGTTCTCTTACTCGGTTTGTTAGTTGATGTTGTTCCGGCCACCTCTCTCATTGTACGCATGCAATATCTCGGTCGTTGGGCAAGACTCAAAACTTTTGCCAGTAGAGCTCAGCTCACCTTGATCTGAATCTTTCACGTGGACTGAGCGAAAATGAATTTGTCGTATACTAGAATTTCTCCTCCAAAGGGGACAAGACATGTCCGGTTGGAGCCAAAAAAGCTAACCACCACCACCGTCTGAACACCCAAAGTCAGACTTGGGTGGTTCCCAACCTGTTGGAGACTCAGACCCATCCGTTTTACGTTGCCTTTTTTTTTTTTTTCTTCTTCTTCTTCTTCTTCCTTGGTTTGCCAGTGAGGGAAATTAGGGTTTGTCGGTCACGAGAAGCCACGCCGTTCATTCTCTCACCTGCCCATTAGGTTTGCCAATTTCACAGAAGCCGGATCAGTCGACCAATCTCCTGGTAAACACAATTTATGTTTGGTAAAGTCATATTATCTGGTAAAAAATATTAGGCTCCGTTCGTTTCGTGAAAAAATAAATAATTTAAAATTTATTTTCTTAAAAATAATCGCTTGTATATTTTGAAATAATTAATTAATGAAAAATATTTTTATTATTAATAACAATTTATGTCTAAAAAATTTTCATGAACGATGAAAATACTTTTCATCTTATTCATTTTTGCAAGTAATTCAAGCGATTAGTTTTTAAAAATTATTTTTCAAATAATTTGTTTTCCGCGGAATAAACTCGCCTTCAATTCATTGTAAAATTATCTTTTGTTTTGTGATAAATCTACAAATAAATGGTAAAACTTCTAATTTTCTAGCAATATCCCTTTTTCCCCGTTAAAGCATGAAAAAATAATTGGTTCGCGTGGTAAACCAAAACACATAAAAAAGCCAACCATAAAAGATAAAAACTGCCAAATCTTAGAACCTATGAATCGGACTCAATGATGTCCTCTTACGTCATGCTCCGAATATCCGAGGAATCTACTCCTAGAAACCCCACGACGTGGCGGTGCATAACCCCACACTCTCTTATATTTGATTGGCTCTCTCATTAATCAAATCTTAAATGGGAAAAATGAGTTGGCAAATGTCTCATTTCAAGAAGCAATTTCAACCACAGATTTCCATTATTATATCAGTTTTGGACGTGCCTTGAGAACCGGATCATAACCTTTCGACTGACACACGTTTATGATGTGAACAAGGAATCAAACCATTCGAGAGATTGATAATCTCGTCAACATTGTCTAGATCACGACGACACAAAGATGATAAAGAAACCAAAAAAATGTCAGATTAGTACTAATCTTTCTAATATATCAATATTCCAAAGTTGAACTGTTAACAAAATGATCTGTTCAAAACGGTACCAGAGCAGATATTATAGAGTATGAATTTTGGTGCTCTTTCTATCTTTATTTTTATATGGTACACGTCTCTTTTAGTATGTTCTCTTTTTCACATTTTATATTTCACGTGCAAAGGTGGGTCTACACGCAAATTTTGCTTTCTCTCAACTAATTAAACTTTTAGGGGAAACTCTTCAAGATGTTGATCAATTGGCTGCCTTTCCATCTCCATGGAAGAGTTCCATTAATATCAATTTTGTGATTATAGGAAGAGTGTAAGCTATAAAAAGGCTTTAACCATACGCGTGCATACTGTTGAGAATATACCTCCAATTCGAGCAAGTTTCTTAATTTGAGTAGATTTTCTAAAAAAGTTTTCCTATTTCAAATGTGTGTGCATATTCTACCTCTACTATCAGATACAGAAAAGCAAACAAGAGGAGTATCAGAATTTCTTTTTGTAAGATTTTTTAGTGAGTTCTTTGTGAGAGATCATGAGATAATATTTGTGGGTTTGCTCTAGGCTTTATCTAGGTGTGAGAAACACTTGAGCGCGACTCTCCTGTATCTGATGTTCTTCATTATTTCTCGTTTATTTATATGGTGATTTCGCATTGATTTAATTACAATACCTGGTTAGCTACCACGTTATACTACAATACATTCGTCTCCCCAAAAGGGTATTTAGTATCTTGAAATAGCTTTTGACCAAATGTGATTAAGGGCTTATTTGCAAAGGTATTCAGGCAATTGCAAACTTTCTTGGCCCCTAGATTCCCAAAGTGGAAACACGATTGCTTCCAAAAGGTGATTGTCAAGTGCTATTGGAACACGTCCCCTCGCCCAAACCCTAGAATGTGTGACGACAAGTGGGTCTCTACACGAAAGGCTGAGAGAGAAATTCCGCGGGGAAAAATCCAAAAAGATGAAAGAGATTATAGTTGAAAACGAGTGATAGGAGCTTCAGAGGCTGGAAGTGTTTCTTTTCTTTTTATTCTTTTGCTTCTCACCAATTTCTGTTTTATCAGATACGGTACGTAAGTGAATTAATAGTTCTAGGTTCTTGTATAATCCATGGTTAACTATAAAAAAAAAAAAAAGGTCATTAAGATCATGATTACCAAGAGTTAAAAGAAAAAGCCGAAACAGAAATTTACTGATGATTCAGTTCATTGGCAAAAGATAATACTAATTTACAGAAGTATGGAGTCCATGTTGTTTGCACATTTGACACAACTCACGATTAAAGTTTTGATCCAATTGCGTATGTTACTTTCGACCAAAAAAAAAAAAATGCGTATGTTACTTCAGATGTAAGGTAGGGATTTAACAAGCTCTAGACTCTCTATAGGCTTTACTAAACTTTAAATATATTTTCCTTCATTTTCAATAATGGGTAAATGTCACCGCTGATCCATAGATTTTTGTATCGAAAATCAAAATGATCTCTTTACTTTTTTTCTTTATTCAAAAGAATCTCTCTTCTTCGAAAGTGCTACATTGATCCCTCTGTTTCACTTTTTTTCTTACTCATTGATTTTTGCTAATATAGACTGTCGGATTTTTTAGTAAGACTCTGCAGTGGACTTGTTGTGTTATGATTCGTACCACACATTAGACAACATAAAAGCACAAACAAAATGAGAGAGAGAGTGAGAGAATGGGCTCTCCAGCTCGCAGCCACGAGATTTGGACCTTGGAGATCTAAAGCGCATAACCCAAAACTTGAGCTTGCGGCCATGGGTGCTCGAATTTTGAGCTTGCGGTCGCAATGGTCGCAATCTAAACATTGTAGATCTCGAGCTTGTGGCTGCCATAACAGCTCGAGCTCATGGATCTTGAGCTCGCAGCAATGGTTGCTTATTTATGAATTAGGGGTTTTGCGTTGTTGAGGTGCTAGATTTTGTGGGGGTTTAAGTTGAAGAAGAGAGAGAGAGAGAGAGAGAGAGAGAGAGAGAGAGAGAGAGAGAGAGAGAGAGAGAGAGAGAGAGAGAGAGAGAGAGAGAGAGAGAGAGAGAGAGAGAGAGAGAGAGAGAGAGAGAGAGAGCATTTGAAAAAAAAAACAATTATCAAATTTCTAACGTTGTTAACGCCATGTCAGGAAATTCCATCACAAAAGCAAATTGGAGACGAACAGTAGCACTTTCTAAAAGGTGGAAGGATGTGTTGAACAAAAAAATTATATGGACGATTTTGATTTTTTAGCTAAAGTACAAGGACCTTGGTGAAAGCAGAGAAGGTTGCGTTGGAAGGATGACTAAAGAAAAAGATGATGGAAAACGGGTCCTCCTTCTCAAAACTATTGTTTTTATAAGTTTACCATGCACCTTTGATCCCGAGGCATTCTACATGGCATGATACATTTACACAATTTGGAGATAAATCCATATCCCCTAAATTTTGGAATGAAATATACTTGGTAGGTTAGAAGGAATTGAATATAGAACACGTTGTTTAATTGTTCTATTTACGCATCAAGAGCGATGTGAATTTTTAGAAAATGTCCGTTGGTATATTATTTCATGTCAATTAAGATTTTTAAGCCTGAAAATCTTCTCACCTCTATGTATGCATAATAGATATGATCAATGGATGAGCCTAGCAGAATACAAGCCTAAATGTCATTGCCAAGACTAGCCCATGATTTAAAATATTTGAACTTTCACTCAAAAAGGTAATCGAGCTTGAGTAGGCCCAAGCAAGGCTATTTGAGCGAGCTTCAACCCAAGAAAAAAATTGTATGCCTAGGTCTGCCTAGTTTGTTCTTCGAGCTTTGTCCGCTCGAGCGGGCTTAGAAGGTCGCCGAGCTTATGATCAGGTCCAATGTATAGTACTTATGGTCATAGAAATGAGGAGAATTTCATGAATGAGCTACTATCGCTATTTGAAGAAAAGAGGTTTTGAGTTTTAGCTAAAAAATAAAAAACAAGAAAGGAGGGTTTTGTGAGGGCACATGTCCCGTCGCTCCCTCCCTTCCCTCTTCTTTTCTTCAATTTTACTATAGATCTCTTTCGTGTCACTTCATCCCCCTTTTCTCTTTCTTATGCACCTTGCTTGCTGCGCTCACTGCGGGTAATAGCAAGAGAGTGAAGGACGAATGATCCTCTAAAAAGAGTGATTTATTTCTACTATACTATATAATTATTTCTTTAAATTTTATTTTTAGTTTGAA